TGTAATAAAGTTGTATCTCGAAAAACGATATCAAGTAACTGGAAACAAAAAAAATTCGAATATTTTGATAAAGTTTCAACTCCCTTCGTTCTGATACAACATATTTTAATAACACAAAAAGCAACAAAAGCAAGAAAAAAAAAGATAGGAGAAAATTTGTTTTTACTTTGATTTTTACACTTACTTAAAAAATTTGTATCATTTTCATGAGCAATTCCAAGTGTTTTTGTATTAACCTCCATAAGAAAATCATCTTGGATAAATAGATAACCACATATAGCAAATAAATATATTATAATAACAGCAAATACAGCTGTTAAAATAACAGATTTAGCATTGCGTACAACACATTGAATTACATTCCATAAAGTATCTTCACGATAGACAACATCGAGTAACTATGATAACCAATACATTACAACATATATATTAAATCGAATTAAAGACTTTAGTGTAAAATTTATCAAATCATTTTTTCTCTCCTATATTTCTGATACTGAAGAAGTTAAACTATTTGATTTGGTCCTAGAGAATTTGTGATTCACTAAGTTAGAAACTCAATTTTACATCTACTAAATCTTTAAATTCGATTTTTAAATCACATTACAAAACAGATTTACAATCAAGCTACTGACATATATTAAACTTACCAATAAACTGTAGAAAAATTCATGTACACATAAACCAAGTACACAAAGAAGTAAATATCCGACATGATAAACAAGTTCAAAGTTTGTTACGTTTTCATAACGTGATTTTGAAAATGTTCCATTATTACCCATAAAACTTACTAGAAATACACCTTTATTTAAAACCTACAAAGAAAAAAAAATATATATATTATTCGTTTTTTTAAAGGAAACTATTCTTACTTGTATTGCCCCCATTAACCATAGAGTTGGTCCAAGTCCAACTGAATAAATTGATCTTAAAATTCCAGCAACAAAAAACATACGCATTGATGTTACATTTGGTTTCATTAAAATTGCAATTAATGTAACCAATAATGCACTCCATATAGTTGCGGAAGCACGTGGATCAAGATCTTATGGACAAAAAACATAAAATATTTTGTATTTATACTAATAAGATCATTACCTTTAAGACCTTTATTGAATGGATAAAAAACAGCAACGAGTATATTAATAAGTACAGCAAAATTGAATGATATATCACTCCACAGAGACATATGTGAAGAAAACCAATATAATGTTGGTTGATGACGTAATTTTCGTTGCCATTTCATTTCTTCGAATATTTCCGGAAATTTTTCAAAGAAATCTTTTACTTTTGATCCTTGTTCATCTTGTTCACATGTAAGAAAGACTTTCTGCTTTTTTTCAACCGTTAAAAATTCACATAATTGTGGAACAGGAAAAACAACTAAATCGAAAAAATTATTTTCTCACAAATTCAATTCAAAACAAATAAATAAATACTCGGTTCAATCGAACGATCATGTCGAATAATTTCAATTTCAGCTGTATGTTTATGATAATAAGATAACGCCTCATCATTTAATGTTCGATGTTTCATTAAAATTTCAAGTTCACGATTATGTCGCGCGAGCTAAAAATGACACAAAAGACAAAATTGATTCAAATTCATCAAATAAATATTCCTATAATTTCTTTTTTTTCTTCTACTATAGAACAATTTCCCATTATCCGTGAATAAGCCGGGAGGATTGCAAGATATATATATATAAACTAAAAAAAAGTCCTGTGTGTATATTGTTTGTGCTTTTATTATTTCTTTTTTTTTGTTGTGTACCTGAGAATACCTTTCCATTTGTTGTACAATATGAAAACACAAAGATATCAAGTAAATAATAAAAAGTTCTTTTATATCTCGAAGAGAAGATAATTCATCTATAAAGAGCTCTACCTGATATGCAAGAATATACATATTATGACCAACAGTTTGGGCAACATTATCAGAATTTTCATTCGCATCTTCGTCATGTACTGCTTCATCATTTTCGGCTTCTTGGCCACTTTTTTCTTCCATTTCTTGTTGTTTACCACGAACATAAATCTCACAACCAACATCAAGCTAAATGAAAAGTAAGTTACAATTCTTTTTTCCTTTCAATTAAAATATTCAATTTACTAATTGTGAAACTGGTACAATATTTCTAAGAATACGTTCAGCATTTGTACTATCATCTCGACTTTCCATAACAGCTAATAATAATTTTGATGCATTATCCTACAAAAAATTTTTTTTCATAGAAATAAATTAATCGAATAATATTTCTTTTACTTTTAATTCAAGTACAAGATCATAATTTTTTTGATTTAATGGTGTTATATCATTTAAAACAATAGCAATAATAATATCAATACCATTTGATTCATGATTAACAATTGCATCTTGATTATCTCGACATGGTCCTTGACAATATTCAGTTATTGTATTTAAAGCTTGATTAATTAATTCAACATTATCTTCATTTATATAATTTCCTAGGAGACCAAGTAAACCTGTTTGTGAACCACAAATCGCATCAAGAAATTTTAATGTTTCACAGACAAGATTATAATTTGTTTTGTTATTATCTTGTAGACGAAGGTAATTCTAATGAATTGAATGAAAATAATTTGGATATATATATATATGAAAATAGGGGGAAATTACTTGAAATTCAGGATTATGATTTTCACAGAGTAATTGTAGAAAACGTAGTATAGGTTGCATTATACGAATTTCAAATGGAAGTTTAAAACGACGATTTTGAGAGCTAAATAAATGAAGTCATATTTTAATAAGTTTTACAAGTAATTCTTACTTAATATCAAGTACATCATATGATCCATCTATTGAATTTTTCATTTGTTCTGTTGGTTCTGGTTCTTGATAGGTAGTTGATTTTGCAACTAATGCTTGTAGTTCTCCTTCCGGATGATCGATAGCTACGATATCTGAATCTGTTTAAAAAACAAATATCAATCTAGATGAAATAATCAGAAAAAATAAACAAACGAACTCGATTCTGATGAGCTAATCGTCATAGGAGTGGTTAATTGTTGATCAAAATTAAAACTTTCATCTGTTGATGGAACATTTGATGGTTGTCGTTCAATATGCAAGGGACTTAGAACAGGTGATGCTGCACCAGATTTTGGTGAATAAATAATTTCATCAAGATCATCATTATTTTGATTATTATCAAGTGATGTTGATGG